GGGGGGGGTGCGGGAGAGGAAAAGAAAATATATAAAAATAATCCAGCCCCAAAAAGTGTAGGATGCTGCTTTCAAGTTCCTTTGTCGAGCAGCTCATGGCTTGGGGCAGATGCGGGGAGGAGGGGTGCCCTCCAGCCTGCAGTCCCCAGACGCCTTTGTCGGCGGTGGAAATAAACCCCAGCACTACTAAACTGGGATTTGGGCAAATCTAGAATAAATTGATGCAGTGAGCAGGAGTCATTTGGTCCAGGTGCGTGTACCCCCACCCCCTTGCACCCCTCCTTAGGTGGGACCCCCGGGCCGAGCAGGGTCCCAGGGTGCCCCCAACCCTCTCGGCTGCAATATTCCCTTCCTGCACCTTCATTACCAAGCCCCCATTACACTCCCAACAACTAAATCCCACCAAAGTCAGTATTTGGGGGAGTGAGATTTTTCTCCTTGGGCTCAGGCAGATTCACAATCTGGGTGTTGCAGGGCCGTCACTTCTGTGGGACCCCTCCATGTGCCACCCGCTGCAGTGACACCCACCAGGAACCCCAGATCGCTCCAGACTTGGCCTTTTTCTCTGTACATTCTCTGATTCTATAAGTTTTGAGGCAGCGATGGTTCAGAAGGGCAGTTTCCTTTATACCACCCCCCACCCCCCCCCATACACACACACACTTCTACTGGGATAACCCCTTTGACTATAAATCTCCTCTCCCCTCCACAAAATAAAAAACCCTCCAGGCCTCTCACAGGCGCTGACCTAAATCTGGTTTCTCCATCGTAACCTCAGTTTTACCGCAATTAATTTTTTTCTGCTGGTCACAAGATAATTCCTGACGCCAGAAAGTCTGGAGGTCAGATGAGAAGCGGAATGAGGAAAAGGGCGGCACTAATTTCCTTAAAACAGGGAGGTCGGGAGAGGGGAGACCCCACAGTCCTGTCTAAAAAGGGGGGAATTGACTAGGAAGGGGAAGAGGACAGTTTGGGGGTGCTGGGGTGTTGAAGGGGTTTAGGGAGAGGTAATCTCCAAGAGGTTTGGGGGGTCTGGCTATGAGAAGGGAGACTTGTGTGGACATGTCATCACCCGTCAGGCCATTCTGGCCATCAAGGGTCAGTTTGGGGGGCTGGGGAGGACGGGGGTGAGGTAGAGGGGATTTAAGGCTTCATTTATGTGTAGGGGCGGAGTTTGATACTGCATTGACATTCGGAGGCGGGGTTTAGGGCTTCGTTTACATAAAAGGGAAGAGATTAATGGTTATTTTACATAAAAAGGGGTTGTGTTATTCATAATTTGCATGTAGTGGGCGCGGTCAAGTAGCGCTGCCTATATAAAGGCGGCGCGGGTGCCTTC